AAGGAAAGAAGAAGAGGCTCATCAGCAACTTTCAGCGTGTCAGCGCACAGAACGGCTGCCACAGCAGCAGATGGCGGAGAGCGTCCTGGCTCTAGGTCTATATGAACGATAGAAACAGTGTTAGGGTCAGAGAAAGGTCAAGCTTCGTGACCCCGGAGGGAAAAAAGTAGCATCAAGATGCTATCTCTATCAGTATGGCTCCACAATAACAGATATGGAAATATTCTCTTTGGATTGACATGTGTGGAGACGCTCGACGTTCTTACAGCCCCGTCCACTAGTTCCTGCTCAGTCAGCTCGGCTTGATTTGACTTGGTTTTTGGGTTTTCTGTTACATGTTTAGAAAAAGGAAAAGTACGAGTTGTCATCGAGCAGAAACGGGAGCTGGAAACATGTAAATATAATAATAACCACTGCAGCCAAACAGAGAGCCTGACGAGCCCAGCTGTAAGTAAGCTGTTAAGACTCGACTGTACGGCGTGTTCGTGTTTTCCTCCGAAACAATAAGCAGCCTTTCAACGCCTCTCTCTGTCTCTGCTAGCAAAGTTGACCCAGACAACAAAGTAAAGCTAGTTTTCGGCTACGAGCCCAACACAAAGTCAGAGGTCCTTTACTACGGTTCGGAGCCGCGGACCTGTTTTATCTACGCGCCGAATAGTTTTCTACACAAGATCGCTGCAAAAAGTGCAGCCTTACCTAATGTCCACCTACTGTTACTCATTTATATTAAGGTTTAAACATCTAGCTGGTGTTGGTGTGGAGAGTAACCTTCAGTAATAGTAATAAATCACACAGCAGTAGGACATTCATGTGGTTGTAAAAAGCATGGTACTATATTAAGTAATCCAAAGTACTCAGAATAGTTACTCTCATTGAGTAATGTAAGGTCAGCTAGTGCACATTTTGAAGATAGAAATGACTGAAGCTTTCAGGTAAATTAAGACCAATTAAGCCAAGTGGCTTAATAGTGGATTGCATTCATACAGCGCTTTACAATTCACACACTGGGCAGCTACAGTCGTAGCCACAGCTGCCCTGACAGAAGCGAGGCTGACATATCGCGCCATCGGCCCCTCTGGCCATCACCAGTAGGCGGTAGGTAAAGTGTCTTGCCCAAGGACACAATGACCAGGACGGAGAGCCCGGGGATCGAACCGGCGACCTTACAGATGCACTTCCCAACCCCTGAGCCACGGCTTAAACCTGGTTTCTTTTTTAAAGGCTACCAGGAGCAATCGCTGTGGTAATAAAAAAGACTTTGATTCCTACAATACTCAACCGTGACCTGTTACTTCATTTCCAGTTGTGAATTTTATTTATTTTCTCATTTGATGTTTCTGGAAATCTTTTTCTCTAAAAGTTTAAAGCTTTTCAGTGCATACCACACACACACACACACACACACACACACACACACACACACACACACACACACACACACACACACACACACACCTTCACCTAGACTAAATCAAAGATTTTTGGCCAGTCTACTTAACAAAATGTTATTATTTGATCGCTAACTCCATACAAATCAAGTCTCAGCCAGCTGTAGCTGCAGCCTCTGTGTTAGGCCTAACCTCTGTTAGAACTGGACCTCTTCACCATGTGTGTGCTGTTGGGGCCTTTCTACGTCAGCACACGTACGGGTGATGGAGCCTGGCTTGTTTTTGGAGTCATCGTCTAGTAGTCATTAGAGAAACCGCAGTTTTTGGCACTTCTTTGGGAAAATAATTTCCCCCAGGGATCAATAAAGTATTCTGATTCTGATTCTGAGCCGACTTAACATTTCAGCCCCAGAGATTTCTCCTTTGTTAGCATATTCTTGTTAGCATTTAGCTCAGAGCACTAAAAGAGCACATATTCTGTATATTCTTAGATGTATAAGATAAAATAACCAGCACATTAATTATGGCGATGAAAATAAATGCAGTAAGAGGTTTCTGTGTTACTGTCTCGTTTAGTTTTCTCTGTGAAGGGTAGAGTCCACTCCACAGCAAACACTCCACAGTGAGCTTAAGTGTTAAAAATGTGCAGTAGATAAGCTGGCAACACCTGTCTCCAGTTGACTCGTGGACTTGTTGCACTTTTAAATTCCAACTGGTACTAATTTCATCATCTTAGTACTTGCAATTCGGAAATTGCTACCAATTAATCTTGGGAAAGTTTGGCTTCAGAAAAGGAGGCAAGTTAAGGGTTTTGTCTGAAAATAACAGGGCGTCACCACGTCCGTGTCTGCTGTCCAGAAAAATCCCTTTCTTTAAGATTCACTGTAAACAAAGGGAGGGATGTATTTTGCACGTTCCAACATGATGAACGTCTTTTTCACAGCGCTCCCCGTCATTTAGTTCGAGTTCAGATTCTTCTTATATCTGGCTTGTGTCACACACCACGTGGTTTGTGGGGCCGCTCATTCATTCTCACTCTTATCACCTCGACTGCAGGCTGGCCTGCATCTCACACCAGCAACAGGTCATTTGAAAGGTACAGTAGCAATGTTACAGCCTGCAGCAGCAGTTAATGAGCCATGAGCCTGTGGAATAAAGTACAGTGGCTCTACCATTGCTAAACACAGGCCACTACTTCCCAATCTGATAAATATGTTCCAGCGTTTCTTTGGAAGGAATTTAGTTTGGTATGGATCTGCGTAGGTCAGGGGTCACTGCGCTGGAAATCCAGTTCACAAAGCTAGAACTGGGCAATGGCCAATTTTACAAGCCCAGCAGATGCTTTGCTAACTGTCACTCTGACTTATGAGGATGCTGAGCTGCTTGGTAGAAAACATCAAAAAGGGCAAGCATGGCAGTCATGCATCAGCTTGTACCACACCTGGCTTCCTAACACTGTTGGGTGTATTTCAATGATATATCTGAGTCATGGCCTAGCAGAGTTTATCTTTAATTTGCCAACTATCCGTTTATCATCATGCATACAGCTGCAGGTACAGCTGCATGTTCCTGTTATGGTCTATGCTCCTCAGCATGCCTGGCTCTGCTCTCAGTGGGGAGTCAGCAACAGCGCAGCTGGGAGAGCTGATCTCATTTGTGGGTTGATGGGAGGGCTGCTGAGCTGGGCATTCTTCTGTGGCAGCAGTGGAGGAGATGCACAGCTTTCAGTGAGTGAAAGAAATAAACCAACAGACCAAGAGAACTCCAGGGAAAGAAAACAGCCTCCTACAACCAGTCTCACAAAAGTTGCTCATCAGGACACAGAAACTGTTCGAGGCTCTCTGAACATGAATAACCAAACGCGAAAAACAAACCCAGTGTCATGAACCGAAAGGTTTGCGAGGAAAGTGGAGCCAAAAACGCAGACAAACACGGGCGAGGAATGCTTTACAGCGATATTTATTTGGAACAGTGACCTAAAGTGACGAGGGAGGCCCAATAAGGCTAGTTGCAGGAATGGGGAAGAGGTCGGAGAGCCGGGGGAATTTTCTGTAACAGAGGGAGAGGGAGCTATAGTCTGAAGAGAAAACTGGAGCTTGATAACTAGAAACTGGAGAATTGTTTGCCTTACTGTGCCAGTCCGGGTTAGTATCACTGAGGGGAGGGGAGAGAGGTCTGTGGAAAGTGTCTGGAGGGTCTCAAGCTCAAGCGTGGAGTTCGGAGGGCAGGCGGGTGAGCAGGCAGGGAGACAGAGACTGTCCAAGTAAGGTGAAGCCAGGGTTGGAACTCCACGGAATGAAGGGAAGACAGAAATTACTCCAAGAGATAAATCACACGAGGAAAACCACGAAGGGCAAACGTCATTTACCACCGAGAAGAGTAGAACAAACTGGCGAGGAGAAGCAGTCGAGTCAGCTTAAGTAGGTCTCTCGCTGATTGCTCGCAGAAGAGGCTCAGGTGAAGCACTGCAGTCTCCGCCCCAAAGGGATGGCTCAGCAGCCACAGAAGGAAAACCCCTCCGGGTACTCCCACGGACCATGACAGCCAGTGTGTCCTTTCCCCCCTTTTTCGTCTGAATCACAGAGTGTGGACAATTATAGTTCAGCAAATGTTTCCAAATACATTTGAAAGCACGGTACAAATAAAAACGACTGTTTTTAAACCGACTTTGGACACCGTGTCACTCACAGGAGAGCTGCTGAGATCGCAGCCGTCTATATTTAACTGTTGGGCATGTTGGCCCACTTTGGATACGTATAATAGCAGGAAGAGAACTGAAGCAGGAAATGAAGAGCAGCGTAAATCATGGCATGAATAAAAGCTCTCTCTTGGCTCAGAGAGCACAAGAATATCCACAATGCTTCGACTACTTGCTGTCTGTGTGCGTTTGATTGGAGTCGCTCGATGTCATCTGCTTCTCAGACTGAAATCTGACATCAGCCTACGATATAAAATCCTTACTTTGAGTTAATCGATTTTCTATTCCAGGCTGGCTTAAAAGATGAGACTAAAAGTTTTACAGTTACAGCGTGTAAAACAAAGTAAAATAAGTAACTGGGACAATATCAGAAATAAATAAGCATGTTTCATGCCTCAGAGCCTTGACTTTAGCTCAGTGTGATTTATTTTAACGTGAGCACATATTAAAATAAATATACTTTGAAATGTGTCCAAACTGACACATTTTAAAGTATATTTTTGGGCGGTTTTAATAGTTCAGAGACAGGTTGTTGTTCTAACTCATCCATCTAGATAAGTTATGGCCATCTTTTTTATACAGTTTATCCACAGTTATATTTACACTGTGATTTTGGCGCAGGGCCTGAGAGCAGAGGAGTCTACTTCGTATTCTGACGATTTAGGTTATAACGTTTATTAAGTAAAGTTTAAAAATAACTTTACTCTGTGCGTGTGACTGTCTGTCTATGAAAAGCGTTTAATAAATCAACTTTACTACTTACTAAAAAGATAACAACACACTGAAAAGCGTCACGCACGTCGACATGAGTACACTTGGGAAGCAGAGTAGAAAGCGAAGTGCACTTCCAGTAAACTGAGTATCAAAGCGAAACAGACAAACGGGGGAGGGTAGGGGGCATGCAGGGAGGGAGGGAGCTGGCATGGGGCTCACTGAGCTCAGCAAACTTGCTTCTTGTTCCTTCGCTCTTCAGCGGAAGTCTGCCTCCAGCACGCTCGCAGTTTAGCGTCTGAAATGCACTTGACTGGACTCTGCGGGTCTTCATCATCCTGTGAAGTCATGGCTCTGCGTCTGCATTTACCGACTGTGCGTCACTGAACGGATCCAGCGGGCTTTTTCTTGGAGAGACTTTGGACCTAAATGACTTTCATTTGTCTTTGACTTACATTGGATTTAATGATGGAGCATTTATTTTACCTGCTTACCTTCTTACTAGCCCGTGTGTGTTCGGGTCTGGGATACGCGGAGTCTACAGTTCCAGCGGGTCAGAGAGCGGCGAGCAGGCACAGGTAAGGTCCACCGCGCGCAGAGATCACCAACCTGTGACTCGTTCAGTTTAAAACGTTTGTTTACCTAAAAATAGTTTCAAATTAAACTCTTTGGTTAAAAAAGTTTGCTTTGTTATTTTTTCTTCTCCAAAGAAAGGTTCGAGACCTGTGAATTTCCCCACTGGTCCGTTCATGGATGAACTCATGGATGCAACAATCTATTAGTCAACAACTGTTTAAAGTTTGCTTGTATCTGTTTAAACCATTCAAGCATCAAATGAATGGGCCGTTTATAAGCAGCTCACACGTGGTCTGAATTCTCATTTTCACATGAAATGTGTTATTGGTGATAAAGTCTCTTACGCAGCAGAGAATCGGGAATAAAGCGTGAGTAAGTGAGTGAGTGGGTGGGTGGAGTGTGATGATTCAGGGGCCCCGGAGCTGGACAGAGCTTATAGGAATTACAGACATTTACTGTTCCAGATCCCCAAGTGAAAATTTTTCAGGAGGCCCTGAATCTCTCACAGGCTTCAAGTGTCAGAGGAGGATTTATCATTCTGCTTTGGAGCTTGTTAAGTAGAGGTGAAAGGGCTCACATTGTTCAGGAGCTGTCTGCCATAAAGGATGTGATACAACCAGGGCTGCTAGGGAATGATGTGTATTCCCAGACTGGTTGGCAAATGGTTCCTGGAGGTTGCTGGCTCTGGCTGTCTGAGTTTACAAAGAAAGTGCTGCACAAAAATCTCCTAGGAGTTGCTTTGGTTGCCAGCAGGTTGCCACAGTTGCTAGCTTCTTTAGCTTGGATTAACTTTCAAATGGCCGTGAAACTTTTATAAAAGGGAAACTCTCCATTAGGGCTGCCACGAATAGTCGACTAGTCACGATTACGTCGACTATCAAAATCGTCGACGACTGATTTAATAGTCGATGCGTCGTTTGAAGCTTTGTAAGATCCCAAAGGACGCAGGAATAAGTAGCAGGATTTAAGAGTGTAATAACGGACTGAAACAGAAGATGGCAGCACTGCATGTACAAGGATGCCAAACCCCGAAGAAGAAGGAGCAGTGTCCGGTATCGTAGCTGTCTCCAAAGTTAGCGGCTGCATCCTTCGGAGGCCGCATTTGTAGACCAATTACGTTACAGCGACACGGCGAAGCCTGTCCAAATTCGAAGACTCCACCATGCCGAAAAATGCATTCTTCATTTCCCCAGATATGAAGGATGGGTCGGGCCCAACCTATCCCAGAATTCATAGCGCAGCCCAGCTCAGTTTCCAACAATGGCGGCAGCTAGTTAGTTTTAATGTTACTCTTATTATTCTTTCTGGGTCACAAAATAAACGTTTAACATATTTTCAGGCGAGAATGTAGCTGTGTAAACCTCAAATATCTGCTCAGTTTATCAGGACACCACATATTTTCAAAAGCGCTCCGACGTTTTCGGAGACGTCTGTTACCCGTCTGTTCTATCCTGTAAACATGCTTTGTAATTCCGTTAGTTTTTTTTAACCTTTCATGTTGGCTTCATTTTTCAGAACTGCTGGTTCAGCTGGATTTGCACCATTCCCGTTTTGATCCTAAGACAGCTGCTTAGTAGTCACTGATGGCGTCCCAGCTCAGACCCGGCCAATGATATTGTTAGTGGGCGTATAATTTTTATTATCCTGTATCCACCCCGTAGGTTGTTATTAGCATGTAATTGATCGCCTCCTTCAGGGGCCCGTGTGTGGACGACCCCCTCAGACAATGCGAGTGACTTGTACGGCTGTAAATGGATGAATAAAGAACTGATCTGATGATGTAGGTAGTCGCACATGTGTGTGAATAAAAAGGTTCACTGCACTCACATGTGGTGTGGGTCTGCCTCGAGGCCTGCATGTGTTTGTAGTTAGTGTGTATGTGTCGGCAGGATAGGCCAAGCTTCTGGGAGCTGAGCTCCTGCGACAGAGGTTTCTATCAGGTTTCTGTGCTGCTGATGCTGTCTGTGACGAAAAGCAGCTGTTCACGTGTGCATTCAAGTTGAGCTGTAACCACAGACAGGAGGACACAAGATGGAGATGGAGAACGAGTTGATTGGTCGAGTGGAAGCAAGAGATAGGAAGCTAAAAGAAAAAAAATCAGACGGAGACAAGTAGGCATAAAACGTTCTCTGTCTCTGCAGGAGTAGAAAAAGTGGTATAAAAGGCTATCTGGAGTGAGACCAAGCAAGCGGGCATGGCAAAAGAGAGTGAAAGAGTGACAACAAGGCAGGGAGGGGAGACAAGACAAGAAAAAAGATAGACTGACAGGGGCAGAGGGGGGGCTTTGCTTCTTAAAAGGCTTCCTTTTGCTGCAACCAGCAGGCTATGAAGGAGTCACCATGGTTGGCCTGTGATGGACACACACATACGCACACACAAAGTGACGTATCAGGAAGAAGAATGTATTGGCCCATGACGGTGCAGTTTGCCCCTCTGACATCTGTTTGAACTCAAGTGATCTGTTTTGACAGATGTGTGAAGTATTCCAAAAGCGGCAAAGGCTTTGGTATGAACTGGAGACATCCAGCAGAGGTTTGATTGCGGGATCAGGAGGACCCAGAGCTTTCTGACACATCTCCTGCCAAAATCTCCAAGCTGCAGATATTGACTGAGGAAGAGCGGAGGAGATGTTGGAGATGGATGCAGGTGGACTGCAGACCTGTTTTGGCTCGTTGGTAGTTTGATGGACGAGGCATTAGATCACCACTGGAGGGTAGCAAGGAGCAGAACATGCTTACTGTCACCGTCTGTTAGTTATCACACTTAGGTTCCCTTATACATGGGTCACAAAGGGAGACAAATGCACTGTACACTTATTCAGACACTGGAGTAATCTGGAGCAAAATGAAATGAATGTGTAACTTTGTTGTACCTCCCTGTGCAGCAAATGGCTTTGGAATAAGTCGGTCGCCTCTCTCCGTACTCAAAAGTCTAAACTTTTTATTTTGGTGTCCTCAAACATGACACTGAGAACAAAAGTCTTGAATGCGGAGCCCTGATGGTTTTTGGTACTTACTCCTGTGGCTGAACTGAAACGTCAGTCGTAAACACCGAGATTTGCTGTCAGTCCTTCATAACTGAATGACAAAGGCTTCTTTGTTCTGGGCCTAAGGTTTAAGGATCCACTGAAAAATGAATCAAATGTGAAATTTCCAAAAGCTTCTTGACCAAAAGTTACCGGCAGAACCACAAGACTCTGTTTCACTTTCTAACCTTCTCATTGTGGTTTTCTGTTTAGAACGCTCTTCTTCTGTTTAAGGAATTATTAAGGAAACAGGAGCAGATTCGGATTGTTCAGCAATGTGGGAGCTGCTGTCCACAACTTAGCTTGTCTTAATTGCGTCTGAGCAAGCATCCGTTCATTAAGCATCGCAGAAGTTTAAAGGCAGCGTTCGGTGGTTCTAGTCCTCTTTATTTAACATCAATGCATGCAAAACCTAACTGACCACATCTGCATAAATCTACAGGGAACTAATCCTTAGATTCAACTAAGCATTAGCCCAAAATATCATGTTCACAACTGTTGTTCACCCACATGTGATCCAACACTTTGTGCTCTTCGTTTATAAATTATAAACACCTCATAAAGTGCTCCCTCAGCCGATCTTAATGCACGGTGAGACTAAACAATGAGGGGGTTGAATTTCTCACACACTCAAGTGCTTAAGTTTGGCTGTGTGGATGGTAATGCCTGCCAGCTGATACAGGCTGAATGATCTCAGCATTCGTGGTAGCTTTTTTTTCTTTTAGGACCACCGTGGAGTTCAAATTTGTGGTTTTGAGTGAAATGTCTCAACAACTTTTGGATGACTTGCGATGAAATTCCAAGCAGAAATTGATGTCGCTCTCAGGGTAAAAAGTAAACAGTGTTGTTAAAGAGATGTTTGCATATGAATGTGCAGAATCAGGGGGCATGGGTGCAGGAAGCTTTCACGTTTCTGTCGTAGTCCAAGAATTGTCGACCTGTAACATTTGAGTGAGTTTGTCTGTATGCGGGCAAACGGTCTGTGTGGCTGAAATCCAATCTCAAAATCACCAACTGTAGGCCTACTCAGATATTATTGCTTTGTATCACTTTATCAAAGCTGATAAGCATCCATAGTGTGAATGGACAATGATCTGTACACAGACTAAGAACCGGGCTGATGTGTTGGTTATCTTTATTTAAACCTGGTGGCTGACACCCACAACACAAGACAACACTGACTGTTGTCAGATACTGAACCCCAAATTGCTCTGAAGTGTTGTGAATGTGCATAAATCTCGGTGGTTACGTGAACGTAACATGTTGTTTGAATGCTCAAGTAGATTTTTAGGCCGTTTACCAATATGAAGCACTTTGGGGCAACCGTTGACAGTTTAAATTGAAGACTGTGTTAAATATCATCTCATGTAAGCAGCAGCTAAGAAGCTCCAATGAGCTTTCTAGTTTTAGCATGTTACTATGGTAACATCTGCTAATTTGCACTAAGCATGGCTATTACTTTAACTCTTGTTGCAACAGAATTGAAGAACATAATTATTTGATTTGTCTGACTGGCACAGAAGTGATTAGCATGTCCTCTATTTGTCTTTTTGGCACGTGTTTGATCAGCTCCAGCTCATCTCTGTCAGTGTAATATTTCCCTAACAATCACCCATCTATATGACACATCTACCCACAAAATTACTCAGAAGTGAGGGGCGTAAACTTCATTGTAAATTTAATAGGACTGCACAGTTAGAACATGTTTAATGCTGCACTATGCAGCCGGTGGATCAGGCTGTTTGTCTCCTATTGAACCAAAACTTGGAACGCGCTCAAATTCACTTTATCCGTATTTTCTGCTTCCTGTTAATTAGGTCAGTATAAAAAACATCTCCTTAAATATGCTAATGCCATGTGGGAACAGGGATGCTCTCCAGGCACAGCCTTTGTAACCTAATTACCATAGTTTCAGCGCGCATCACATATGAGGAAGCCGTCCTTTGTTTACATAAACCTACAGAAAGTTATAAAGAC